TACAGTAATATCCAGGGTATAACTGTATCCACAGCCATCGTGGTCATACTTTCCGGTAGTGACATGTTTAGATCTATCAACCGTATCAAGTTCTGAGAAAACCTGATTATATTTGAAGATGTTAATGCATCAGATATAGAAACATTCTTCTCAAATATCCTGAAACAAAAAGGAAACAAGATTCACATCTTTGCATCTCTAGTTATTATCTACAAGTAGTTAGCCCTAATTACATATCTTATTTTTAAGTTTTATTCATTTAAGTTATCAAAATCATCCATTGTTTAGTTTTGTTTGTTTGTTTGTTTCATTTAAGCCTATTCCCAACAGTATTTCAGTCATATAGGCGGGGGTAGTTTTCTAACCATCGTTCCTGGAGAGTTACACCAGTACTAGACTACCATCCTTGGTGCTAAACTACCAAAGCATCTCCCGGGGATCGAACCCATGCCAGAGAGGTAACTGGATTAGAAGTCATCGACTCTTAACCCCTCGACCACGGAGGCAGTTCCATTGTTTAGAGTGATATTATGACCAATGTCCATCCAAGCATAAATGGTAAGTTTGATGGAAAAGTAATAATAACTAAACATTTTGCTATATATGTTAACAATTTTATATTATACTTCACAAAAATGTACAATAATCTTTGTCACACACTAGAATTTTTATCAATGTCCTTCAAAATGTATGGGTAACATTCAAGTGATAAAAAATTTGGGCAGTCCTTTATATTCTAGGCAGTGTTCATATTTAACCTGAACATTTGTCATTATCAATTATTGGTCACTCACCATTATAATAGCCGATCTTTAGGAATAGCATGGGACTCCGTATTATCGTCATACTTAACTTTTTCTATATGTCTGCATTGAATTTCCTTAATGAATTTAATAGTTGACATTTTGTGTGAAGCAAAACAAATTCAAGTTATCATTACATTTCTTATTGAATGAGGTCAAAGATTTTTAACTTCACCATATGCATGACTGCACATGACAAAATACTGAGAGTACGCCGGTAATAGAGTTGCGCCGATAATACAGAGTGATAATGCTAATTCAGCTCAACCTAACATCCAAAAAATAAGCATCATGTCACTTAAAATTCTGTTTAATGTCATACAACATCACGTTCATATGGCAAATAGCCAGCATGCATCTGGGTAGAACTACCAACCTTCCTATGCAAACCAGCTAACCAGCCAGCTTTCTTAACACAAAGACCTTAACAGGATTTAAGTCTACAGCAGCTTTGGGATAAGTGATTATAAATCAATCTACCAAGATGGTTCCATTTATAATATCCCTTTTAATAAAACAGAAAAAAATAAATAAGAGAAAAAAGTCTAAATTGAGCAAACAGCAATAAGTGGCCAGTAATTTAAAGTCAGAAGGTCTAATAGGTGCCTCTTTATTCCATCCCTTGCATTAGAACATATAGGAATAATAGTCTCTGGTCCAAAATAATGTAAAGTCTTACCTTTGCAGATATGAGAATATTGTGATCATAGTTTTGTTCCAGCTGCTAGTTTCCTCCGACTTACTTCCTTGTCTTGACATCTTATAACACTCATTAAACCCTTCCTCTCCCCATAATAAACAATTCTGTAACAGTTCACAACAACACATCAACTTATTTACTAAAGTATAAGTAATTCTAGGGCTGGACCATATGCAACTTTTATTCTGCCTTATCATGAAGACTTTAAGAACTCTTAGTTAAAGGAGTGGGAAAATTTAATTTACAATCTTTAGACATGTAGTCAAAGTGTGTTTTTTTTATCTTTAGACCAAACACTGTGAATTCACTTAATTTCGTGGACATGAAATTTGCTAGTTTTGTCACAAAGAACATTATGGTCAGTACACAAATTTGTGGACTGTTTACTTTCAGAATGGTAAAATGTAAATAATGTTATGCAAAATAATCTTACAGCAGACTAAATGAAATTCATGGATCGACCAGTCCACAAAACTGCTTTTCAATAAAAGATAAAAGACTTCCTAAGAATGCTACAGACAAAATTTGGTGATCATCCATCAATTAGTTCTATAGACGTCAAAAGGTTTTTCTATTTTTAGCTCTAGAAACCCCTAAAAGGTGCCAATCAAATTAAAATGAGCAAATTTGATAAAAGACTACCTAGAAATGCTACAGACAAAATTTAGTGATCATCCATTAATTAGTTCTGTAGAAGGAGACGTTTAAATGTATTTCTATTTTTTAGCTTTAGCGGCCTGGCCCCTAAAAGGGAAAAATCAAATTAAAATGAGCAAATTTGATACAAGACTACCTAAGAATGCTACAGACAAATTTTGGTGATCATCCATCATTTAATTTAGTAGTAGAAGATGTTTAAAGGTTTTTCTATTTTTAGCTCTGTTGACCCCTAAAAGGGGCCAATTGAAATGGCATGAGCAAATTTAAGTGTGTCACAAGGATGCTACAGACCAAATTTGAGGTGAATCTGCCCATCAGTTGCAGAAAAGAAGATGATTGTTGACCCATGACGACAGATGACGGACACCATAGTATACCCCTTTGATAATAATAGCTCACCCTGAACCTTCGGTTCTGGTGAGCTAAAAATGAGTGCCCCACAATTAATAATGAATTTGCAGTAATGTCTCTACATGACTTACATTATAATCGTGTGTTTCAAACAGAGCCTCCTGTAACATAATTAACTGTGCCTGTCTCTCTGTCTTATCTTCTGTTATCTTCATTATCTGTAATAACAAGAGCACCACATGGGCTTTAATGCTCCTCTGTTAACGGCAAACAATGTTGACAAAGTTAACTCCAAAAATAGAGATTGTGTATTATTCCCCTTTTCTTACAAAAGTACCTTGTAATGTTTGAAAAATGTTTGCAAAATGGGCTACATTAAAGTTTTTGCAAAATGACGACAACAACAACACAGAGATCATAAAGGTTCGACTTTTTCTTTAAAACAATAACAGACCATCACCTTAGTGCGGTTACAGGTTAACTCCCATTGAAATATAAAAGGAGTGAACCCGTTACTTCACTAAGGTAACAAGACATTGTCTACAGTAAAGACAAGGGCAATCTGGACAGACAGTAAATGTTAAACATATTCAAATCATCATGCCAACAGATCTTATCTTCACAAGCTTAAAAGTTTAGGAACTGGTGAGTCTCGTGTACCTAGTGGATAGAGATGATATATCTACATGGTAACATTTATCACTCTGAAGCACATCCCCCAGTAAGTCATGTGAAGATGTTGTAAGTTCCTTGCGGAGAAATGGTTTATACTGGTATAAAAATCGAAGAAAATTTGTTGAGTAACTACATGTACTTGCCAATAAAATCATAAATGAATGAAACGCTGTTGCATACTTGCATTTAACTACTAAATGAAGTAGAGCCCATTTTACAACTCAGTTTCCATTTGTATCAATGTAAACAGGGATCTTTTTTGGCTTATTTTATTGCCATTAATGGGTCATATGCCCAACTGAAAATAGTAAATAATTTTCCCAATGCACAGGAAAAATTCCCAATTGAAAGTTACAAAATAAAAATATTGAATAAAAATTTCTAAAATCTTTGAAAATAAGGGTTTCTTCACTGTAATAGTGCTTACCTTTTGTTTTTCGGCACTGAAGTTCTGCACCAGTATTTCAACAACCTTCTTGTAGTCTTTTTTCTCGTACAACTTCTCTGTTTCCTCAACAGATCTTGTCTGTTGTAACATATCCTGCTGTGATACCACTATATCTACAATAAAATAAAGTCATTAAAATATATATAATGTGTGGACATTTATCTGAAGATGCATCTCGTGACCAATCTGGACAAGCTCTCTTGAAGAATGATTATATTCTTTTGAGGTTTTCTAGGACATAAAGACACATGTACTCACAATAAAAATAAGGAATGCCTTATGATAAACAACCCTGCCAGATTCAATTATGAAAGATCACACAATGTCACTTCATGTATAAACCATATATCACATGTATATGAAATTGTATTTTTATCTGTGTTTGCACTTAAGTATGTTCAAAGTTTAAAATAAATCTCGTACATCTTAACTTATTCATTCATCTTAATAACATAATCCTATAAAATGTGACAGACAAAATGAAAGACAGACATCATGACAAAGTTTCCTTCAATTTTGCCTGTTGGCAGCTAAAATAAAACTCAAAATCAAATGTCAAGTTTTCTTAACTGAAATTAAGGAAAGCACCTGGCAGATTAAAAATTAATTACCTAGATCCACAAAGTTGTCTATCTTGCAGTTTGGAAGATGGGAATTTTCTACGTTGAATTCTTCCTTCCCATACTCAAGATACTCTTTGTTCTGAAGATAAATAAAGCATTGATTATTATAAAATGTAATAAAGAAAAAGATGTTATAAAATATCGTTGCCTATAGCGATTGGTTGTCAATGGAAGAATGATTATTATGTATTGTGAAAGCTACTGAATTAACTTAACCTTTACTATGCTGACTTTCTTAAATGGACTTGTCCATTTTTTTATTTTTAGGACCACCCATTATCAGTTTAGGGATTTCATTATGAAATTTAAAGTTAGTCTTCAAGCAGTACAGAGCCTGGTCAGATTGCCTACATGTGCAGACTGGCAGAGCTCCATAATGGTGACAAACGGTAATCAACTCTACACATAAACCAAAAACAAAGTATGAATATGGAATACCATATCAAGGTAGAGTACTGCATCCTCCATGTTGTTTCTCAAAACAGAGTATCTGGATTTCAACCAATATACTGCAATAAAACAATCTTACTTTTACTAATGTTTCAAAGATTTCTATGTCATTTATATAATAAATACTATTTAACTAACAGATATAATACATGTGCACATCACTATAGAAATAGTCTCTATGTGAAAGTTGATAATTACTTTAAGTTAACTCAAGAAAAGAAATATTTTTGTTAAAAAAAAGAAACATTCTATCTTTAAGGATATGGGGAGAGAGTGTCTTAAACTGCTGCCAATTAAACAGGTCAATTTACTCTTCCAAGTTCTCAATAGTAAAATGTTAGCCACTAAGCCTGGATAAATACAGAATATTTAACTTCAAAAGGCGAAATTCTGTGAAAATCAATACAATGAATATCTTTAGTGACTGTAAAAACAGAACTTTTTCACAAAACCTTACATAAGAATAATCTTAGTTCATAAAGAGCTGTAATTCAGTACAAATCCATGCTAGAGTTATATGTCTCAGATAGATACACTGATGTTATGACATATGTGAAGTTTCAATAGAATACATTTTAAAGTGAATGAGATAAAAATTGCAACTTAACCAAGTGTTATGTAAATGCAAATGCCATCATTTTTTTTTTTTAAGGCAGGGGGGGGGGGGGGGGGGGTTAGTTTTACATCACACCAACACAGTATAGGTTTTATGGCCATTTTCCAGCTTTACTGGTAGAGGTCAACCTCAGGTGCTCTTCCGTGCATTACTTCAGGCACAAATGGGCACCTGAGTAGAACTACTGATGTTCTGTAAGCTAGCTGTATAGCTTCCTCTCATGAAACAATACAATGTGCTTGTCGGGGATTCGAACCCACAGCGATGAGAGCCATGTGGTTGAAAGTCAACAACCATAGCCACTCAGCCACCAGCGTGTATACAATATACCCACATTTCTTCAAGTTCAAATAGTTTAGCTTATTAAACCAATCTTCACCTACCTCTTATACAGTGATCTATCCAAATACCTTCTAGTGTTTCACTATAGCCACACAGTACTGTTAAATACCAGATGTCCTCATTAAAATAGTCAGGTACATCATCCTGTGATAAATCATGGTGACCTGCACTGTAAAATAGATATCACATGTTATACATTGAATCATCATCTATTTACAGGGGCTGTAACTCATACGTTTTTTTTTAAATTTTTATCAGCATTAACCAAACAAAAATTTATATAAACTTGAAATTTTTGAGTGCACCTTCTTTGTATAAAAAGATTGGAAGGGAAACATTATATAAAAACCATTAGGGTATTTTTTTTTTTCATCAAGATGTAATTTTCTTCAAAATATAGAAACAATGTAACAAAGTAACAAAATACAGTATTTGTTTAACTAATAAATAATGCAAATCTATAAAAAAAAAACAACTCAAAACCAATATTTTTAGGTTGATATTTTGTCACCTTAGTTATAGCAATAACTGGTTAACTTCTATTAATTTAAAAGGTGGTGAGTTTTGAGCTTTGAAGAAAATCTTTCAAGAGGTATAGAGTAAACTAAATTATCACATTGACCTCCAAGTGCCTCTCTGACTTGTAGCCAGCAAAGCACTAGCATGGGTTCTGCTTGTTGTGGTGAGCATTTGAGCCCAGTTTGAAGATTATCCTTCATGGGGTGTACAATATATAGAGCTGACATAAAATTGTTTGTCTAACAACTGGCTCTCTGACAGTTTACCTTCAAGTGTGACCTTGACCTTCGGAATGGTTCTGCACATTGGCTTGCTAAGGTTGATATTTGAGCAATTTGTTCCAATGGGTCAAGGATTTTTTAGAAGGCACTGTGGAGACAGATGACTATCATAACAAATTTAATTCTGTACAGTCCAAACCACATCAGTCCAAACCACATAAAGTGGCAGGGATATAATAATGACATAGTGAGCTAAATGGTGCACAGTACCTTCTCGGTGACATGAGGGCAGACCCACTAGCTTTTGATCTGTCAATTAACCACCTATCTAATAGTAACTCAAGTTGTACAAGAATGACCTGAAAAAACATACACAAATAATAAATTTAAGATTTTAATCATTTTTTTTTTAATTGTAAAGACATGTGTATCATACATAGAGTTTGGATTTTTTTCTTCAAATATTGATTTCAATTGCTATGTAACAGAATTTCAGTCTTATACTGGTAAACAATAAACCACACTTATATATAAAGTTTGTGGTATATTTCAGTAATGAGGACACAGGTGTGATACAGCTTCTTATGGTAATTCATTTACTCTGGAAACAGACCTGAACTTTTATTTTCAGTTCATGAGTCTTCTTCAATATTATTGAAGCACCTATTGATACCTTCCACACATTTAAGAATTAAAGTCCCTGTCCAATTTCGAGCTAACAGTAGTCAAGGCTACCTGTCTGGCCACTGAGGTCTCTTTAAAAAAGTAATAAAATAATAAAGAAAGTTTTTAAAAGCATTGAATTTCTTTTTGTCCCTTACCTGTGCAAGTCTCTGGTATAATTTTGGTGAGTCTTTCATCTCAAACACGTTAGGAATGTACATATGTTTCCGTACCCTATTGTACATCTTTATATATACCTCACTCAAGCCTTCAGGCCTGAAATGATAGAACAATTTATTCCAATATATAACCTTTCAAGTCTAAAATAGTAAAACAATGTACATAGCTGAAAACTTCATGCCTAAAATAACAAGAGGGCCATGATGGCCCTGAAGTCGCTCACCTGTATATAGGCCCCCAGAACAGGGCCAGTTTAAACCCCAGGGCTTTTATTTAAACAAACTTGGTAGACACCCATTAGAAGATGTTTCATGCTAAACATCTAAGGTCTAGCTCCTTGGGTTTTTTTAAAAGAAGATTTTTTCAAGTTTTTTCTTTACACATATAGTTAAAAACAATGACACACCTGGGGCAGGGCTAGTTTTAACCCAAGGGCTTTTATTTGAACAATCTTTGTAGACACTTACTATAAATTGTCTCATGCTTAATATCTAAACTCTAGCTATTCGGGTTTTTTCAAAGAAGATTTTAAAGTTTTTCCTATACACATAAAAGGAAAATCAATGTCCCCCCCCCCGGCCAATTTTGACCCCAGGGCTTTAATTTGAACAAACTTGGTAGACACTCACTAGAAGATGTTTCATGCTTAGTATCTAAACTCTAGCTATTTGGTTTTTTTCAAAAAAGATTTTTTAAGTTTTTGCTATACACATATAAGGAAAATCAATGACCCCCGGGGCGGGGCCAATTTTGAACCCAGGGCTCTTATTTGAACAAACTTGGTAGAAATCCATTAGAACATGTTTCATTCTAAATATCTTAGCTCAAGCTCTTTGGGTTCTTTAAAAGAAGAAATTTTTTAAGTTTTTACTATATGCATATAGGGAAAATCAATGACCCCTGGGGCGGGGCCAATTTTGACCCAAGGGCTTTTATTTGAACAAACTTGGTAGACACCCATTAGAACATGTTTCATGCTAAATATCTTAGCTCTAGCTCTTTAGGTTCTTCAAAAGAAGATTTTTTAAAGTTTTTACTATATGCATATAGGGAAAATCAATGACCCCCTAGGGCGGGGCCAATTTTGACCCCAGGGCTTTTATTTGAACAAACTTGGTAGACACTCACTAGAAGATGTTTCATACCAAATATCTAAGCTCTAGTTCTTTGGGTTTTCTAGAAGAAGATTTTTAAAGTTTTTTCTTTTGGTTGCCATGGCAACCAGAGTTCTGCATGGAATTAAATTCTTTGAACAATTTTCAAAGGTGACCACCAAAGGAACATTCCTGTGAAGTTTGGATGAAATTGGCTTAGTGGTTTATGAGGAGATGCCATTTAAAGTAAAAGTTTACGGACGGATTTGTGCCCAAAGAGTTATGCATAAAACAATTATACCATTGAACCTTGCAGTGTCTAGCTAGAATGTGAAGGAAGCTACAACACATGTCAAGAAATCCTGTGTTTTTGATACAATTATCTAAGAAAGTCTTGACCATCTCCATTTCATTCCATTCTTCTGTTGCCATGGTAACATTGGATGTCTTACTGCCTGACTTGTCTGATTCCGAGACTGAAAAATATCAATACAAAATTAAAATTTTTTCAAATGTCTTTTCTTAAGTTGAGAGTAATGATGAGGATATTGAAAAAATAGCTATCAGTGCCTGAAAACAAGAGCCTGGATAATGTAGAAATTCATTAGTTCAAAAAGGGCCATAATTCTGCAAAAATCTTTGATAGTAAAACAATAGCCTCAAATAAGTGTGTGAAGTTTCAACCAATTCTCTTCAGTTGTATTTGAGAAACCAACTTGCACGTAAAAACTTGACCAGTGTGGCGCAGACACCAACCCTTTGGCGAGTACATTAGCTCTCCCTGTATTTTTAATAGTTGAGCTAAAAATGGTTTTACTTTCAAGCATATGTGGTACAGGCACTGTCCCTTCACAATATAGGGAAATCAAGACAAAATTTTTTATTTTGTCAGCCAACACTATTATGCCTTGTCATATCAATGCAGATGTGCTGAACTGCCTTGGCTTTATACTGCAGGCAAAGACATTTTCATAATTTTTGTGGGTTTTTTTTGGTTTGGTTTCATGTTGCATCAACACAGTATAGTTCATATGGCAACTTTCCGGCTTTTTCTGGTGGAGGCCCTTCTGTGAATTATTTCAGGCATGAATGGGTATCTATGTATAGAAACACACGTTCCTTATTAAAGCTAGCTGGATAGCTTCCTCGCATGAACAAATCCAAAGTTCCTGTTGGGACTTGAATCCGCAGCAGTGGACGGTAAACAACCTTAAAGATGAAGTCAACGACCTTAACCACTCAGCCACGGACGCCTCTATTCTTACATTGAAAATGATTATCTTGACACAAGTGACTATAGTATATGTTGTCAATGATTATGTTGACATAAGTGACTATATGCAGTCAACAAATCAAGTGGTATACCTATATCCTGAGATTTGTCCTGTGAGTCTGTTTCCATGGAAATACTCTCATCTTCTGAAACATTTCTGAAAAAAAAAGTTTATCAATATTTAACAGTTCAGTAGCTGGTATCAATAACATCAGAAAATTATCCCCAACCTTTCCAGTCTGAATTTTACTATATCTTGTGTGTATCTAATAATTTTAAGAATGTAAATGAAAAGTTCAAATGTAACACACTGATTAAGAACAAAGGTTGACAGTTAATTTGAAATTTTCTTCTAAAACAACTGACACTCCTATACTTATTTTACAATCATGCAAGAAATTTCAAATATAAATGAAATAAAAAACAAATCAATTTGAAAGGAATTCCTGTAAATAAATACATGTTATAGATCATTTGGTCCAAGACCACTATCTCAATTGTACATCATTGGTATCACACATGCTTTCTATGGTTATTTAGTTTAATACAAAATATCACACAGACATATTGTGTCCACCACTACAGATACAAATGCAAAACGTTTTTGGGTTTTTTTTGGGTGTTTTTTGTTGTCTTTTTCTTTAATTAGCCAAAAGTAAATAGTTTTATTATAATTATGCTGTTACAAACTGAAACTTCAGCTAATAAATAAATACATAGAAATATTACTTTAGACTGGAAGGTAAAAATGTCTGCAGAAGATCATAGAAATTCACGGTTTCCTCTTCTTTCTTTCTGCCACCAGTGTTCCTTACCTGAAAAAAAATTTTTAGTACCTCATTAAGTATACCTACCCTTCCAAGACCAAATTAAATGTAGGCAAGTGATTCTAACAAGCTAGAAGCCAGTGCCTGTAATTATACATGACAAATAAACAGATGCATTCCTTCATTACCTTATAAATGTAAAAAATTACATATCAATTCATAACAATAACATTGTCAGTATCACATAACTTTAAATTTAAACAAGAGCACGGCATGTGGTGTTAACGCTCATCTGTTAAGGGCAACTACTATCAATTAAAAATTTTTATAAATATTTTGCAAAATAGCAACAATGAAGCTACACTCATAAAAGCTGAACTTTCTCTTTGAAACAGACAAGCTACAAGTGATTATAAAACTTCAAATATCTGGAATTCCCTTCTAAAATATGTACAAAATCTAATCACTTTATGTATTCTTCTTTCAAGAACAATCAAGTAATTCATTATAACATTCATAACACTAAGTCAAGAATTGGTTTCAATCAAAACCGTTAACAAAAATAGCTTTAGTTATTCCTTTTTTTTTGTCTTTTGTCTTTGTTTTCCAAAATAAAAAGATACTTTATTACAGTTTGTACAAAACAAGCTCTACTAACTTTCAACTTTTTTAGAAAAAAAAAAAACCAAACAATTTCTTGCTGTTATTTACAAGACTAAATCACTTTGAATTAACTTGGAATCCCTCACACTCCACCAAACAATTTGTCAAAGATAAGCTATTTTATTCTTTATGAGAAAAATCAAAATGCTTCCTTTAAGATTTACATACTTTCAAATGATTTTTTCAATGACTTAATCTTCTCAAATTCTGTGAAAACAGAGTTATAAAATACTGATTAAAGACTCTGCTACATACCCTGGCTGAACGTCTCTTCCCATAATTTAGTACGTCTTCAGTAGCTAGGGATGGCCTTTTTCTTTTTTGGGCTTTCCTACTTGAAGGACTTCTATCATCAATATCCAATGGAACTTCTATGTAACTGGCTGATGACTGAGAATCCTGCATAACAATATAACTACTTGGAGAACGCCCTGCTGATGACATTGAAACAGAAGTTTTCTTTGGCGTAGATTCACTAAATGGCATTTCACTGAACGCCCTGGAGTAACCATGATCTGATACAGAAACTGAACATTTAGAGGAAGGTGAAGACACATTTACAACAGGTGCTCTTATTTCAGACTGTGTTACATTTACTGAACCACCTAATGTTTCTGTTGATGCAGTTACACTAGAACCAGTCAACACCTGACTGGTTGTAGGTGATTCTGCCAATATTGGAACAGTTTGTGGTCTAGAATGAGGACTTTGACTAGCTGATGATGAATCAATAACTATAGGAGAGTCACAGGAAATAAGTTTCCTCTCAGCATTCATTACATTAAACCTATCTGATTCAGCCACTACATCTGGTTTAACATCTTTACTTTTTTCAGCATCAGGAATTTCAGACTTGTCTTTTGACATCACAACAGGTTCCACTTCTTCAGACAGCATATCTGACACTGTGAAGCCATAACTTGTTGATTTTGTAATTAAACCTGTAGACTTTTGTAAATCAGTGCTTTTGCCCCTGTCATCCTCTTCAGTATTCACTTTCGCCAAACTGTCACTAACTAAATCATTAGATTGTTTCTCCAGGTACCCACCTTCATTACCAATCTCCAGTTTCTTCTCTGGAACATCAGTACTTGTTTCCGGTTCAATTTTGAATTTAGGACTGGGACCTGCAGGACAGCCAGGAAAAGCTTCTGATTTCATTGGACTCAGGCTATTTAACAAGGCATGTGCAGTGATAAGAGCCTCCTGTATGGAAGAGCTGTCTTCTGATATGTTTTCAATTTCCATACATTCTTCTTTAGCATCTTTTTCGTCAGTAATAGGAGATTTCACTTTTGATTCTGTGTCAGTTTTATTGTTTTCAATAATTTCAACAGATTTTGTTCCACCATTTAAAACATTTTGTTCATTGACTTTTGATTCTTGTTCACATTTGTCACTTTTTACAGCACTTGACTTAAGATTGTCATTACATTGAGTTAAACCAGTATCTATTTCATCTTTTTCCTTAGCCTCATCTTCAGTCACTTTCATAGAATTGTCAACTTCCTCGGCTTCAACTTTCATATTCCCATCTCCATTCTTTAATTCATCCCTAGCACCAGAACAATTCTGATTGATATTTGTTTCAACTTCTCTGTCATCTTTTTGATCAACCTTTTCAGAAGTCTTCCCTGTTTTCTCATCACCTTCACAAATATCTACTTTATCCACTTCCATTTCATCATCACCATGTTTTGCCATGTCTTCTGAAGTTGGTACTTTATCAACATCAATATTAGCCTTGTCAATGTCTTCAATATTATCACATTCCATTCGATTTTCACCACTCATTAAGCTATTATCAGGTTTATTCTCACCAATAGCATTATCATTGTCTTTGTTAACATCATCAGCATCTGTAATATCATCTTCGGCAGGCAACTTGCTGTAATCTGGTACATCCACTTTCAAACCTAGACTCTAAAAAATATTCATGTAAATATATATTTTATCAGTATCTATAGGTAATTCCTCATTTATACAAACCTTCAAGCAAAACTGAAAACAAAACAATACTATAGCTACATAGAGGATATTTGTTTGTTTTGCATGTAAGATTGAAATATAATTTCACTGAGTGAACACTAGATGCAATATTTTCATGAGTGGCGTAGCCACGAGTGAAAATATAATAGCTGGTGTTCACAAATGAAATATATTTCAATCTTATATGCAAAACAAATAAATTTTCTTTTTATTTCATGCTTTTTAATTGATTTTAAGTATTTTTTACTGATTTTGCCGCGTAATGTCGCGCATTCTCCTTTGTGACGTCATCATATCATGACGTCACATCATCAATTTTGAAATATAGTTCTGTTAAATTTCTCTAATTTTGTTACATTTTTAACATGATGTATGGTGACATCGACTTTCTTTTCCTAAAGAAGCAAAATTTACATATGACGGCATTTATTTCCGCCTGTTATTCCATTTAGATTAATTTTCTTTTCATCCGCATTCAGATATAGTCCGACTACAGTGAAAATTATATTTTATAAATTTCACTAGTGGTTTATCAGAATATAATCATCTGATATATTACAATAAAACACGAGAAAGCATGAAATAAATAAAAATTATCTTTGTTTAGTCGAGACATGTAGTGACAAGTTACAATACATGAATACATTAAGAGTTATTTCACCTTGTCAAAGACAATGAGTAGATAGAGGATCTATATATGTCTAAAACAAACATGAAAACATGGCCATTCCTCAAGATCTTCTAAATCTTAGATTCTCTCTAAATGACATTAATAACAGTTATTAATGTCATTTAGATAGAATCTAAGATTTAGAAGATCTTTATTATAACATCAGAAATAAACAGGATGATTCTGACCGAAAGAGGGGAAATATGTTTTGACATATTCAACTTTGAACTACCTCTGTCTAATCAATTGTAAAGCTATTAAAAAGAATTCTAACATAACCTGCATTTTTCCCTTATGAACATATAAGGACCAAAAGTGTGTGTTATTATGCAATAAAATCACTCTTGATGTTCTATATTTAGACATGTGATGTAACCATTAGACATGTGACGTAACCACTACACATGTGACAAGCTGAAAAAAGCATGGAAACAAATCAGGCGCTATTTAAGCTTGATATCAGGTATGGCAGCATTTATTTTTTGACATTATGTCAGAATCGAAATCAGTGATTTATTACTACGCCCTCATGATTTGAACTCCAAACAGTGTTTTTATTTATCGATAAATCACTTTTTGAGTATATTATTTCTTAATAACATATTCATTTTGACACATTATATATCTTACCACTGGAGGATCTGAGGTGGTAGCTTTATCATACAGCTCTATCAATAGCTCCCCTATACACTTCCAACTGTAACATAAAACATTCTAAATGATTATAAATTATTTATTTTGGGCTAAGTAAGTGTGTATATTTAACATTATCAATATGTGTAATAATGAGTGGCAGCATGGGCTAGTGGTTAACACGTCAGACTAGTAATTTAAGGATTGATGGCCATGTGGGTTCAAAACCCATGAGGGGGCAAGCCGTTGTTTTCTTAAGCAAGAAACTTTAAATTCATAGCTTAGTAGTGGTTGGTTCCAGTAACAGATTCAAGGGTATTTCAAAAAGCTTATAGCTTTCAACACTATGGAGCTAAAATAAATAATAATACACTAAACTAAACTAACTATTCAAGTTTTCAACCATACTTTTGTTATATTCAAACTAAAAACACTATGGAACTTAAATTAATTCTTATAAACTATACTAAACTATGCAAGTTTTTAACCATATTTTTGTTATATTCTAACTGAAAACATATATTCAAGCTTTTATAATTTTTAAACTCTTCCTAGAATAGAGTATGTCTACAACAAACATATCATCAGATTTTACACATTTATTGCCTGTTAAAGAATAGTAAAGTGTCGTTTTACAACAACATTGAGATATATTTAGCCAAAAATGAACAAGATTGCATTTGAGAAAAATGCTATGCCACCGCGTTAATACAACACTAAATAGTAGTGTAGGAACAGATTTTTTTTGTTTCTATACAATTGAAGATTGTCATAATGCATAGATCCCTGACCTATCTATTCTTATAATCAGATCAGTTCACTTTACATCTTAATCTGTGCACATGGTCAAAATTTCATTGCTGTACATCAAAGGACAAGAAAGTAGGTCAATGTCCCCTTGGGCAAGGCAAATTTTGACCCAAGGGTTTAATTCAAAACAATCTTGATACAGGTCCACCAAACAACATTTCAAGTCAAATATTAAGCTGTAGCTTTCTCCCATTCGGAAAACATTTGTTTTATTTTCTGTTTTTATTATGTGTACATAATGAGAATCACTGCCCCCGGGCAGGGCCAATTTTGACACCAGGGGAAAACTTTGAACAACTTTGGTAGAGGACCTATAGATGATATTATATAGCAAACATCAAAGCTCTATGCCTTGTACCTTCAGACAAAAATATTTTTTATTTTTTTACTATATGTACATAATGACAAGAATTTGTAACAGAGTTACCAACGTCCCCCGCCCCGGGAGTTTTATATGAAGCATAAAATTGTGCTATTTCAAAAGATTGAGGTATGGATCTCAGGACATTCAGTCCAAAATTATGATCAATGCTAGATCTGCAAATGTAACAATAAATTTGTTAAAAAAATAAAATGAAACACGGAATTTAAAAATCTATCATGTTAAGCTTTGACCTCTAAGTGTGAACTTGACCTTGGAGGTAGGGGAGCAGGTGTTGTGCATGACATAACGTCTTATTATTGTGACTATTTGTGCCAAGTTATTTCAAAATCCCTTGAACTATGAAGAAGTTCTAGATTCCACACAAAATATACCCTATAACAGACTATGTTAATTTTTGACCTCTAAGTGTGACCTTGACCTTGGAGGTAGGGATGCAGGTGTTGCGCATGACACATCCTCTTATTATAGTGACTATTTGTGCGAAGTATTTTCACAATCCTTTGATCTATGAAAAAATTATAGACCTGACACAAAATATACCCTGTAAGACTATGTAAGTATTTGACCTCCAAGTGTGACCTTGACCTTGGAGGTAGGTGACCGGTTTTTGCCCATGACACATCATCTGATTATTGTTAACAATTATGGCAAGTATTTACAAAAGTCCTTCATAGATAAGAAAGTTATGGACTGGACACGACATATACCCTCAAATAGACAATGTTGACCTTGAATGAACAAGTACGACCTTGACCCTGAAGGTACGGGTCTGGTTGTTGCGCATGACACATCGTCTTATTATAACAAACATTTGTGCCAAGTTATCTCAAATTCCTTTGATAAATGACAAAGTTATGGACCGGACACGAAATATACCCTGTAACAGACTATGTTAATATTTGACCTCCAAGTGTGACCTTAACGTTGAAGGTAGGCAACTGGTTTTTGCGCATGACACATCGTCTGATTATTATGAACAATTATGGCAAGTATTTACAAAAACCCTTCATAGATAAGAAAGTTATGGACCGGGCACGAAATATACCCTGTAACAGACTATGTTAATATTTGACCTCCAAGTGTGACCTTGACCTTGAAGGTAGGTGACTGCTTTTTCCGCATGACACATCGTCTGATAATTGTGAACAATTATGGCAAGTATTTACAAAATCCCTCCATAGATAAGAAAGTTATGGACCGGACACGAAATATACCCTGTAACAGACTATGTTAATATTTGACCTCCAAGTGTGACCTTGACCTTGAAGGTAGGTGACTGGTTTTTGCGCATGACACATGACACATCATCTGATTATTGTGAACAATTATAGCAAGTATTTACAAAATCCCTTCATAGATAAGAAAGTTATGGACCGGACACGACATATACCCTCAAATAGGCAATGTTGACCTTGAATGAGCAAGTGTGACCTTGACCCTGGAGGTAGGGGTCTGGTTGTTGCGCATGACACATCGTTTTATTATAATAAAAATTTGTGCCAAGTTATTTCAAATTCCTTTCATTTATGACAAAGTTATGGACCGAACACGAAAGTGTGACGGACGGACGGACGGACAGACGGACGGACGGACAGACGGACGGACGGAGCCTATTTCTATATCCCCCTTTTTTCTTCGAAAAGGCGGGGGACAAAAATCAATGACCCCCGGGGCGGAACCAATTTTGACCCCAGGGCTATAATTTGAACAATCTTGGTAAAGGTTCACTTCGCAAAGTCTCATGCCATATATTTAACTCTAGACTTTGTCAATTCAGAGAAGAGGATTTTTCTAGTTTTTAATTTTTACATATAAGGAAAACTATCGCCTCTGGGGCAGGGCAATTTTAACACTAGGGGCATAATTAAAACAACTTTAGTAGAGGACCCATAGATGATATTTTATACCAAATATCAAAGCTCTAAGCCTTGTACCTTCAGACAAGAAGATTTTTTAATTTTTTACTATATGTACATAGTGAAAATCAATGACCCCTGGGGGTTCACTACACAATGTTTCATGTAAAATATCTTAACTTTAGCCTTTGTAAATTTAGAGAAGATGTTTTTTTAAGTTTTTACTATATACATATAAGGAATACCTATGGCCCCCGGGGCTGGGCTAATTTTGACACGCTAATTTTGACACGCTAATTTTGACACTAGAGGCAAAATTTGAACAACTTTGGTAGAGTACCTACAGATGATATCATTTAACAAATATTAAAGCTCTAAGCCTTGTACCTTCAGACAATAAGATTTTTTGATTTTTTACTATATGTATATATTGAAAATCAATGACCCCTGGGGCGGGGGCAATTTTGACCCCAGGGCTATAATTTGAACAATCTTGCTAGAGGTTCAATACACAATGTTTCATGCAAAATATCTTAACTCTAGCCTTTGTAAATTTAGAGAAGATGATTTTTTAAGTTTTTACTATATACATCCTTCATCCAAGGATCAATCCTGCTAAGTTTGGTTGAAATTGGACTAGTGGTTTTTTACAAGAAGATTTTTTAAGATCACTATATAATCTATATAACACACACACAAACAAACACACACACACACAGGTGAATCCCTATATGCCACCGCATCGCAGATGCTGCGGTGGCATAAAAAGAGATGCATATCATATAGAACAAGTTAGCTAATCAATATAATTTGTAACAAGAGCACCGCTAGGCGGAGCATTATATGCCCGAAAGTATTTTTTTTTTTTTAGTAAGGATGACCTTAACCGTTGACCTTTTGACCCCAAAATCAATAGGGGTCTTCTACCCAATATGGACAATCATCCTATTTAGTTTGAACATTGTGGGCCAAATGGAACTTAACATATGCTCCGGCTACTGTTTTCAGTATCAAGGTAATAGTGACCTTCACCTTTGACCTTTTGAACCCAAAATCAACAGGGGTCTTCTACCCAATATGGACAATCATCCTATGAAGTTTGAACATTGTGGGTCAAATGGAACTTAAGTTATGCGTGGAAACATATTTTTCAGTATCAATGTAATAGTGACCTTCACCTTTGACCTTGTGACCCCAAAATCAATAGGGGTCTTCTACCCAATATGGACAATCATCCTATGAAGTTTGAACATTGTGGGTCGAATGGAACTTAAGTTATGCTCTGGAAACTGTTTTCAGTTATAAGGTAATAGTGACCTTGACCTTTGACCTTTTGACCCCAAAATCAATAGGGGTCTTCTACCCAATATGGACAATCATCCTATGTAGTTTGAACATTGTGGGCCAATTGGAACTTAAGTTATGCTCTTGAAACTGTTTTCAGTATCAAGGTCATAGTGACCTTGACCTTTGACTTTGTGACCCCAAAATCAATAGGGGTCTTCTTCCCAATATGGACAATCATCCTATGAAGTTTGAACATTGTGGGTCGAATGGAACTTAAGTTATGCTCTGGAAACTGTTTTCGGTTATAAGGTAATAGTGACCTTGATCGTTGACCTTTTGACCCCAAAATCAATAGGGGTCTTCTACCCAATATGGACAATCATCCTATGAAGTTTGAACATTGTGGGCCAATTGGAACTTAAGTTATGCTCCGGAAACTGTTTTCAGTATCAAGGTCATAGTGACCTTGACTTGACCTTGTGACCCCAAAATCAATAGGGGTCTTCTTCCCAATATGGACAATCATCCTATGAAGTTTGAACATTGTGGGTCAAATGGAACTTAAGTTATGCTCCGGAAACCGTTTTCAGTTTTAAGGTAATAGTGACCTTGACCTTTGACCTTTTGACCCCAAAATCAATAGGGGTCTTCTACCCAATATGGACAATCATCCTATGAAGTTTGAACATTGTGGGCCAATTGGAACTTAAGTTATGCTCCGGAAACTGTTTTCAGTATCAAGGTCATAGTGACCTTGACCTTTGACCTTGTGACCCCAAAATCAATAGGGGTCTTCTTCCCAATATGGACACAATATGGACAATCATCCTATGAAGTTTGAACATTGTGGGTCGAATGGAACTTAAGTTATGCTCCGGAAACCGTTTTCAGTTTTAAGGTAATAGTGACCTTGACCTTTGACCTTTTGACCCCAAAATCAATAGGGGTCTTCTACCCAATATGGACAATCATCCTATGAAGTTTTAACATTGTGGGCCAAATGGAACTTAAGTTATGCTCCGGAAACCAAATTGCTAACGGACGGACGGACGGACAGACAGACGGACAGACAGACAGACAGACAGACGGACGCCAGGGGGTATAACATAATATGCCCTTTCGGGCATATAAAAATGTTGCTTTATTTTACCTATACTGCTTGATTCTAGGTGGGAAGGTTAATCGCTCTGGTTCAGGTGGTTTACAAACAACCTGGTTCCTCTTTCTCATTGCCAATGCCTCATCTACATACTGTAAATATAATAAATACAAGCATTATGGAACTTTAAATTTATATTCAGTTTTACTATAACCCTCCAACTGCTAACTGTGATAAAGACAGGCCCATGTGACCACAGGCATAAGCATCATTCCATTCAGTATCACAAAATTGGAGGCTGATCAATTTTTTCAGTTTTCATATTAAGACTACTCGTGTTTTGTTCTAAAATCAAAAGAAGGAAATCCACAGCAATCACAGTAGGGCTCTTCAGGTTAAACTGTCATACTTTTCATAAGTTTACCTACATGTAGATACTGTTACATATTTTAGAACTACTGGTTCATTTATCATATAATTGAGTTATTATGTTCATGATATCAATTCACATCAGATCAACTGCATATAGTGATATTGAATTGCTTAGAAAACAGCAGTATGCATTGTATACTTAATAAAATAGGGATTTATAGAACAAAATTGTAAATTTGTATCATAGACGATGGCCAGACTATACAGATGTAAAGGCTAACCTAGGTTGGTTCTAGGCCCTGGCATAGCAACAATATGACTCACTAGCTATTGGCTTTCTAATTATAATGATGGGATAAAACATATTTGTGAAATACTGGTAATTACCTCTTTGGCCTCCTCCGGATCAATCTGGTATGTGTTTATAACAGGATCACTGTAATGACATGTAAAATTTCTTCTTATATCTATTTCAAGGTTATCATTATATTGAGAAAGGGGACAAAATATATCAACAAGAGCTGGCCGTAAGACAGCGCGCTCGACTTTTTTATTGCTTGCCAATAAAAAAAGTTTTTGCAGTAAAAGGCAATACAAGAATCTCTGTATTTTTAAAGTGAACAAGTATTCCAACTTTCAAATTAATATCTCAAACAGTTCAGTCAAAAAGTGGACTGGTTCCAAAAAACTTAACCAAGATTCTAAGTCGATAAAAGGCCTTAATTTTTAAAACAAATCCTTGACAGAGTTACCTTCTCTTGCGTACAGATGGGGGTAATGATGTGAAATAGCATTAAAAGTTTCAAAGCAATATCTCAAAGGGTTAAGGCAATAAGTGGATTTTACCCATATTCAATGTATTTTCTAAGTCAAAAAGGGGCATAATTCTGTCAAAAACCTTGACAGAGTTATGTCCTCTTGTCTGTTGATGAAGGTCGTGATGGTAAACAAGTATGGTCAGTTTCAAAGCAATACCTCCAATGGTTTTGAAATAAAGTGAGGTGGTACAAAAAACTTAACCAAGCTCAATACACTTTCTAAGTCAAAAAAGGGCCATAATTCTGTCAAAAACCTTGACAGAGTTATGTACTCTTGTCTGTAGATGGAGGTTATGATGGTGAACAAGTATGGTAAGTTTCAAAGCCATACTTGTAATACTTCTGAAATAAAGTGGGGTGGTACGAAAAACTTAACCAAGGTGTGACGCCAACGCCGACGCTAACGCCGACGCCGACGCCGGGGCGAGTAGGATAGCTCCCCTTTTCATAGAAAAGTCGAGCTAAAAATAGGTGACCAGTCTAAAATTGGAACTAGTTCAGTTGTGCAGAATTCCAGTCATATATCAATTAGCAGTTATCTAAGCAGTAGACATTGATTAAGTTCCAGAGCTTTTTTTTCTATGTAAATAGATGTCAAAACAGAAAGTCTTTGCGCTACCTTTACATATTGCTACAAAATATATATCATTCTTGTTTTTAGTTCTTTTGTTTTTTTGTTTTTTTTATTTTATTAGTTTTTTTGTCTATTGTCCTATATCAATTTTCTGTTACAGCAAATATTGATCTAAACAACTAAAGGTATGCATTCCCCCTGTCATCAAATTTATATTTACCTTTACATTGATTATATATGTTATGAATCTTTCCTGCATTGTATTAGAAAACTGCCCATAAGAAATTTAAGTTTGTCACTATTAAAGCTGCATGCCTAGCCAAAATATTTAAAGAAAATCAAACTTAAATATACATTAAAAATACATATTCAAAATTTTCATGAAAATTACCTCCAATCTGGAGGCAAGCTGCTTTAAAACAGTCATGTCAACAAAATTTTGGAATATGATTGAAGTCCTTGTAAGTGCAAGACAGCCTGGCTCTAAAGTATTAGCATACATCTATCATGTTACCATAACTCTAATAACTACACATACCAATCTTTGAAGAATTCTTCAGTATCTTTTTTCAAGGACTGCTGTTCTGCCCATATTTTGTTCCTTAAAGCATACCCCTTCCCATAGGTTGTATCTAACTCAAAACTTCTTGCTATGTAATACAGACATTCTGTAAAATAAATAACATAAGGCATCATAAATTCAGCAGCAAGTTTACTTTAACATTATTTTTCCGTGAGTTTCACAAGACTGCATGACACAAGAATTGTTGCTATGACAAAACTGAAAAACTTTCAACTACTGTATAAGTGGATATTTTTGTGTCACAAAATGTTCATGAATGACAAAAAGTGCACTTTTTCTTTGCGGAAATATTTTTTTTTGCGAAAATATGATTTATTGAATTTAATACTGTTTTAGTGCTAACTTTAATGAAGCAATTACATATTATGATATTTACATTATTACTATGTGCATGTAAAATTTGTTGTATGTAACGATGAACTGTAAATGTTCAAGTTAGATTCAAATAAAATTTCTGTTCTGTTCTGTTCATATTAAGAATATGTTGTTATTTTTATAAAAAATATACATTGTTATTTTGATAAAGGACCTGATCACACATTTCTTTGTCATTTTTTGAAACATCCTTTTGTTATATCAATAACCTTTTGTGTTATTAACGCATATATTATTTAATTGAAACATTTGTGATTTGTTATAACCAAACTTTAACAAACAAGCAGTGAGAAAAATTAATCTCAGTTTCTGAACAGTCAAACTTATTCATGTAAGATGTTGTATTAAAACGTGTTTTCAAATGACAGAAGAAATATATAAAGTATATAAAGCAAACAGATTACTTTAGAGTATAAGTTAGAATCTAAAGCACGGAAGTAGAACAAAAAGCACAAGGGAGTCCTATATTTCACTAGCGAAATTTACTGTGACAGCTTTTACACATGGAAGAACTAGATATCAGAACAAGAGCGATCAGTAAACACATGTGTCGCCTCATGATGGCCAATTTCATGTTGGGACAAATTTTGTGACAGACGGACAGACAGACGGACAGTGCACAACTAGACTAACCACTTTGTACTGATCATTCCTGTAAAGTTTGGATGAAATTGCACCAGTAGTTTATGAGGAGTAGTCCGGACAAGCTTTTGTGTATCTGGCAACACACAGAAAAAGAAACCTTTTTATTAAAGGGCCATAACTCGGCCAAAAGGACTTGAGCTACAGATCAATCCTGTAAAGTTTCATTGAAATTGCATTAGTGGTATAAGAGAAGTAGTCCGGACAAACTTTAAAATTAAAAATTATTAAAGGGCCATAACTCTGACAAAAATCATTGAACCGGAAAATGCTGACAATATGCACAACTAGACTTGGTACTGATCATTCCTGTAAAGTTTGGATGAAATTGCACCAGTAGTTTATGAGGAGTAGTCCGGACAAGTTTTGTGACGGACGGATGGACAGACAGACAGACGGACAGACAGACGACGGAGAAGTGATCCCTATATGTCGCCACTACTCCGTAGAGGCGACACAAAAATGGTTCTATACTTCAACAGCAAGGTGCAAGGACAATAATATGAGACTAAAACAATGCCAAGAGATTTTCCTATTTTATAATCTGAAATACAAACTTACCAAGGTAGTTATTCAAAGCATACAGTATAGAGATGACATTGTCCAGACAGGGCCAGTGTTTTGGATTGCAGTTCAATCCCTGCTCAAACGCCAGCATTGCAAGTTGAAAATCCTCAAGAACAAGGGCAGTTACTCCAACCTTGTACCAGACAGTCACTTCAGAGTTGTCTATCTTTACAGCCTTTAAAGAACAAAACAAGCAATTAAATGTCATGAGCCAGAATTACTTAAATTATGCAATGACACATTTATCAAGCCTAATTTATACAATATAATTTTTTACTCTTGGTCAAAAACTTTTTGAGCTACACTTGACACCAATTGATAATTGCAAATTTTTACCAATTCAAGGGCAGTTACTCCAACAAATCTGAATTAATCCACATGGGATACACTAGGTGAAAACTTCAAATGCTAGTCAACATTCCTGTCAAGTTTTTGACTCTAGCTCAAGCAATTTCTAGGGCTGTCATCGATATAGACGATATCAATGTCATTGATAATTATGTATTGTTGATATTTTTCTGTTGATCAAAAATCGATACACATTTGAAAAAATCGATAATATGCAAGAAATTAGGAGTATATATCGATATATTGGTGTATTGTTGATATTTGTTATCCGATATCAATATATATATATGTTATTACACTAGTGTAATATTGTTTTTATTAAATGGCTTAATTACACTCCTGCGCCGGGGTTTATGAGATAATTTGTATTTTAAATAAAAACAACATTTCCTATAGGGGCTTGATTGTTATAACTACTCTCCTCACCTCCAGATAACAATCCAAGGCCAATTTATAATCTTTCCTCTTTGTTGCCATGGCAGCCAGATTCTTTTGTATTGAATACAACAGCTGTAAACCTGGATGTATTGCATCTTTACCTCTTTCTTCAAGTAAATCATATGCCTGAAAAAAAGCAAATCATATGCCTGAAAAAAGAACACCATTACAGATTGTTGGGGGTTTTAAAATCTGACCTGACCGTATAATGTCAGATAAGGATTAAAAAAACATAAAGTAATAATTAAAATAAGATACCATTCTATATTTATGTGGTTATCTCTTTTCCTTATGATGATTAACAATTACTAAACCAACCAGTGTACAAATTCATTGTAAAATTTATTTCTTACATAATTAAACAAACAAGAGAGCATGATTATACAATTAATACTGAGGATCAGCAAGATCACGATAAATAAATAAATGCTGTTATTCAAATCAAAATATATCCAAAAAGTTTTTTTCATTTGCAATATACTTTTATAAATCATGCTTCCAGAAAAAAAGTGTTACCAAACTGGCACTTACTTACCTAGTCATATAAGCTATTTGGATATCTTTTCACATGAGCATAAAACTGAGAATAAGGAGGAAAGTGCCAACAGGACATAAATGCGCCCACATTCCACTATTTTATCAGTATACAGATGGACAGAGTGACAGCAGGTAAACTGACAGCAAAATAGATGGACAAAGGCAAATCTATATGCCCCTTGCCAGACGATTAAGTATAAATTTTTTTTAATATAATGGTCTTACCTCAATAAGGAATTCATGATCTATGAGATCCTGAAAGACTTCCTCTGCTTCATCAGTCTTTCCTCGTCTCAGCAAATCCAATGCTTTACCATACAGTGTGAATGCCTCAGCTTCCTGCAGACATTAAAATGTTTTTTTATCAAAGATACCAGCAAAATGTAGTCACTTGTCAAGCTTATTTTTCTATAAAAGTTACGATTGTCTTTCAAAAAGGCCTTTTATTTTTAAACATTTAAGGAATACTGCATATACTGCTTAAATTGTGACAAAGCTTTATACAATGATGAAACTGCTTCTTCACAAATCTAGTCCCATTTCTATTTTTTTTTATCTCCCATCTTCCTCCCAAAAAAAATTGTCAATTTAAAAACAAAATTACGGACTTTAAAATTTTTGAGTGACTTGTTGTGTATAAGTAAGGTTATCGGTCCTATACCAAATAGTAACTTTGTAAAGTGATAAACATAATTATATTTCTGAAAGTTATATTCAGCAGCAATGTAGATAAAAAGGTCATTAGAATTTCAAATAGAAAAGAATGATTCACATTGTTCTTTATTTCATGATTGTTTGCTATTTTACCTCTTTTCACCAAGACCATTCTGTCTCTAAAAGTAACAAGCAAATTTGTTGAATTTATATCCCTTGCCGAGTACTGGTTATTACTAACACAACAACTGAAGACATAAGGCTTTATTTATATATTTATCATGGCATAAACAGTAATATTCTTTGAACTTGATAAATATTCAGGGCAATAACAGAGCCATAACTCTGTGTTAAATAGTAATATCTGGAAATGCCAATGAGATGTATGCATACTGCATAACTAATCAAGGGCCATAAATCTGAGTTATAAGTGTCCGACCGGAACAAGGCGACTATATGCACATCTCCTCTTCATATCCCATAAAGTTTCATTGAATTCCAGCCAGTAGTTAGGCCATCTTTAAAAAAATGTTTGTTTGCAGTAACGCGACCGACTCACAAAATTTGCCCCTACTCAAAAGTTTTTTTCATGGTCTGGATAAAAATTTATTTTTTTTTAATCAGAAAATTATGCCTTGTGCTTTGTTTTTGTTCTTTTAAAGGTTAATAGAAGAAATAAAATGTAGGTATTATTTAATTAGAATTCATTTATCAATTTATTAATTGTTACCAGATTATCAAAGCATATATTGTCCAGCATTTTGAAATTCCATGTTTATTTGGGAGTACAGTTCAATAAAAAAAAAAAAAAAAAAAATAAAAAAAATCGACCTACCTACCCACCTTGAAAATTCTGGGTCGGGTTACTGCAAACAAACATTTTTTTAAGGATGGCCTTACAGAGAAGTAGCACGGAAACGATTATTGCTCTGGTTGTATACTGCATAACTAATCAAGGGCCATAACTCTAAGTTAAAGTGTCTGACAAGAACAAGGCGACAATATGCGCATCTCCTCTTGATATTGAAGGTTCCCATAAAGTTTCGTTGAATTCCAGCAAGTAGTTGCAGAGAAGTAGTGCATAAACTATTATTGTTCTATATGTATACTGCATAACTAATCAAGGGCCATAACTCTGAGTTAAAATGTCTGACCCCAACAAGGCAATGATATGCGCATCTTCTCTTGGTATTGAAGGTTCCCATAAAGTTTTGTTGAATTCCAGCCAGTAGTTGCAGAGAAGTAGCGCGGAAACGATTTTTACTCTATATGCATACTGCATAACTAATCAAGGGCCATAACTCTGAGTTAAAGTGTCTGACCGGAACAAGGCAACGATATGGGCATCTCCCTTTGGTATTGAAGGTTCCCATAAAGTTTCGTTGAATTACAGCCAGTAGTTGCAGAGAAGTAGCGCGGAAACGATTTTTACTCTATATGCATACTGCAATACTAATCAAGGGCCATAGTGTCGGACCGGAACAAGCAGACGATATGCGCATCTCCTCTTGATATTGACGATTCCCATAAAGTTTCTTGAATTCAAGCCAGTAGTTGCAAAGAACTAGTCAAGAAACGAAATTCGGACAGAAGGATGGACAGACAACGCCAAAACTATATCCCCCTCCTGATTCCATCAGCGGGGGATAATAAATAAATCTACCGCCATGATGAAAATGCACTACATGATAAAAGTAAGAGGATATTTCAACTGCTTCTATCATGTACCTTAGCTTCTTTTGTTGCTTCTCGAGGTGCCACATCATTCTGGCTTCCTTCACTGCTAATGCTGTCATTTAATGCAGCGATTCGGAACTGTAAAATAAAAATGAAATTATTAATGTAGGAAACAGCATAATTTCAAACATTAAGTTTATGATCAGTACATAAGGTAGAAACATACAGATTTTTCAATCTTATCCATCCGCTATAGATTTCAATCAGTCATTCAGTGCTCTACATTAGCATCGTTCCAACTTTTATCGGTACTAACTAATTGAATTTTACATCCCACTCCCCCACCCCCTCAAAAAAAAAAAAAAAAAAATTGAAATCTTGTCAGACTAAAACAAATTCAACAAGCAAATTCGTTGAATTTATATCCCCCGCCAAGTACTGGTTATTATTAACACAACAACTGAAGACATAAGGCTTTATTTATATATTAATAATGGCATAAACTGTAATATTCTTTGAACTTGAAGCCTTGTACCTTCAAACAAGAAGAAGTTTTCACTATATACATATAAGGAAAATCTATGACCCCCTGGAGTGGGGCCAATTTTGACCCCAGGGCTAAAATTTGAACAATTTTGGTAGATGACCTATAGGTTATATCATATACCAAATATCAAAGCTCTAGGCCTTGTACTTTCAGACAAGATTTTTTAATTTTGCATTTTTGAAACTCCTTTTCTGGCCCTGTGACCTACTTATGCAACAGACCGGAACCATTTGATCAACTTTGGCAGGGGACCACCCTAGGATCATTCCTGTAAAGTTTGGTTGCTGTGCAGTCATTTGTTTCTGAGGAGATTTTGTTTAAAGAAATTGCTGACGACGCATGACGACAGACAGTGGGGGATCACAATAGCTCACCTAGATGTAAAAACATCTTAATCTACAGACTTCATTATTCGTAATTTAGTGATGTTGATCATTATTCCTGTAAAGTTGGTCGATTCTAACTCAAGCACTCAAGGATCAAATAACAACATAATGAAACAGTTTTTACTAAGTCAAGGGAAATAACTCTACAAATACTGGATAAATCCACAAGCGAAACCCCAGGAACAAACTAAATATGCTGAGCAACTTTCCAATAAGGTTAAATGACTCTATGTCAAATCCTTTTTGAGTTACATGCGACACATGTTGAAAATTGCAAACATTTTCTAAGTCAAGGGCAATAACTCTAAAAATACTAAATAAATCCAGACGAAAATACCCAGGTGCACAACTACACATACTGATCAACATTCCTGTAAAGTATCATGACTTTAGGTCAAATACTTTTTGAGTTACATGTGACACAAGTTGAAAATTGCAAAATTTTACTAAGTCAAGGGCAATAACTCTAACAAGAGCTGTCGGTAGGACAGCATGCTCGACTATTCTTAGTGCTTGATATTAAAAAAAATGCCTGATACAGTTACCTCCTCCTGTTTACAGGTTGGGGTCATGATGGTGAACAAGTGTGCAAAGTTTCAAAGCCATATCTCAATGGACTTTGAAAATATTTGAACTATTACAAAAACTTTAACGTAAATTCTAAGTCGAAAAAGGGGCATAATTCTGTCAAAATGCTTGATAGAGTTACCTCCTCCTGTTTACAGGTTGGGGTCATGATGTTGAACAAGCGTGCAAAGTTTCAAAGCCATATGTCAATGGACTTTGAAAATATTTGAACTATTACAAAAACTTTAACGTAAATTCTAAGTCGAAAAAGGGGCATAATTCTGTCAAAATGCTTAATAGAGTTACCTCCTGCTGTCTACAGGTTGGGGTCATGATGTTGAACAAGTGTGCAAAGTTTCAAAGCCATATGTCAATGGACTTTGAAAATATTTGAACTATTACAAAAACTTTAACGTAAATTCTCAGTCGAAAAAGGGGCATAATTCTGTCAAAATGCTTGATAGAGTTACCTCCTCCTGTCTACAGGTTGGGGTCATGATGGTGAACAAGTGTGCAAAGTTCAAAGCCATATGTCAATGGACTTTGAAAATATTTGAACTATTACAAAAACTTTAACGTAAATTCTAAGTCGAACAAGAGCTGTCGGTAGGACAGCATGCTCGACTATTCTTAGTGCTTGATAGTAAAAAAAATGCCTGATACAGTTACCTCCTCCTGTTTACAGGTTGGGGTCATGATGGTGAACAAGTGTGCAAAGTTTCAAAGCCATATGTCAATGGACTTTAAAAATATTTGAACTATTACAAAAACTTTAACGTAAATTCTAAGTCGAAAAAGGGGCATAATTCTGTCAAAATGCTTGATAGAGTTACCTCCTCCTGTTTACAGGTTGGGGTCATGATGTTGAACAAGCGTGCAAGGTTTCAAAGCCATATGTCAATGGACTTTGAAAATATTTGAACTATTACAAAAACTTTAACGTAAATTCTAAGTCGAAAAAGGGGCATAATTCTGTCAAAATGCTTAATAGAGTTACCTCCTGCTGTCTACAGGTTGGGGTCATGATGTTGAACAAGTGTGCAAAGTTTCAAAGCCATATGTCTATGGACTTTGAAAATATTTGAACTATTACAAAAAACTTTAACGTAAATTCTAAGTCGAAAAAGGGGCATAATTCTGTCAAAATGCTTGATAGAGTTACCTCCTCCTGTCTACAGGTTGGGGTCATGATGGTGAACAAGTGTGCAAAGTTTCAAAGCCATATGTCAATGGACTTTGAAAATATTTGAACTATTACAAAAACTTTAACGTAAATTCTAAGTCGAAAAAGGGGCATAATTCTGTCAAAATACTTGATAGAGTTACCTCCTCCTGTCTACAGGTTGGGGTCATGATGGTGAACAAGTGTGCAAAGTTTCAAAGCCATATGTCAATGGACTTTGAAAATATTTGAACTATTACAAAAACTTTAACGTAAATTCTAAGTCGAAAAAGGGGCATAATTCTGTCAAAATGCTTGATAGAGTTACCTCCTCCTGTCTACAGGTTGGGGTCATGATGGTGAACAAGTGTGCAAAGTTTCAAAGCCATATGTCAATGGACTTTGAAAATATTTGAACTATTACAAAAACTTTAACGTAAATTCTAAGTCGAAAAAGGGGCATAATTCTGTCAAAATGCTTGATAGAGTTACCTACTCCTGTCTACAGGTTGGGGTCATGATGGTGAACAAGTGTGCAAAGTTTCAAAGCCATATGTCAATGCGATGGCTCAGCGCAATACTGGTCTAACTGCTATTTTTGAAAATGTTCAGGAGAGACAAAAAACTGATTTTATCCAAAAATACTTATATTAGAAAATATTTTTTTGCTATGTTAACATTAATTATAATAAGAAATAATGCCATTTATATAATTTTTTATTAAAGTGTTACAATTTGTGTATTTTAGAGTTAGACCTTTATTGCGCTGAAATTCTGAGCGCAATACAAGACTAACTTGAGTTAGACTCAAATTCCCTCTTGCAATTTGGTAAAAGTGGTACAAATATTTGAGTTAGACCTGTTTTATGTTAAATATTCTGATATAAATTTGAACAAAATTGTTTTGTTAATTTAAACATTGTTTAAAATATTTTGCAAGTCTGTAGAAGTACTTTACAAAGACTAAATCCTTTAATATTTTTCTATTAATATATCATGCTAGCTGACTTTAGATGAAAGTACACTTCTATAATTCTTCTTTTTCAATTTGTTTGAGATTCAGATTTACTTAAGATCTTTTGCAGATTATCTGTGCAATAAATTTGAATTCTAAACAAAATGCAAACAGTTTTGATTCATATACTGTTATGAACAGTAGTCATGAACAATGATGACTGACAATCCAGGTATATATTATGATATCATCAAAGTTTGAAAACAGGGATTAATGTACATTTTCTATAACTCACATTTGTACAAAGAAGAAACATTTTATTTTCTCAATGCACACCATTACCACCATTGGTGCTTAATTAAATGCTGTGATTCCGATATTACTGTTATGCGCTAAATCTTAATGAATTTAATGTATGTGGTCCTCTTTTCTGATGATATAATCATTTATAAATATCAAATATTTTCAAAAATGAAAGTCGCTGTTAGACCATTATTTTATTACAGATTTTGTATTTACTTTCTCAACTGTTTAGAGTATATTTTGAAGTGAAATGTGCAAATTTTATGACATGTTTTGCTGAAAACTGTGCATATCTTAAGAAAAGTGTTTCATTTTATATATCAAAGTCATTTTACCTCTAAATTTTGTCCAAATAACAAGAGGTTGTCAAACATATTTTAGAGAAAAAAGTAGAGCAGTACAACCCACTATCAGGGATTCATAGAACAAAATATTGTTAGCACATGATATAATTCAGAATCATTTTTGTAAAGTTAGATGTGCTTTAAACACTTGCAACCAATTACTCATTCAGATATGAAAAGGCACACACCTGAAGCACCATGTACACACCTTAGATTGGCACTAAACAATTACAATGGATAAATGTTTGAATTTTCTCATTGACACTGATACCAAAAGCAGTTGATAGTAAATTACATTTTTAATTTCATAAAATTTGATAGGTAAAATTAATGGCTTTTAGATCTAAAATGAAACATTTTTATCAACTTATAGCTGTTTCTGCCGCATAAGTCAAAGAGTGTTTGACAATTGCACTCTCGAAAATTCAATGGAGCTGTGTGATGTAAAAAATTGTCAGAATACAAGAACTGAAAAGGTCATTATAATATATATTTTTTTATTTTTTCTGCACATATCACATCAGAAAGAAAGATATTGTATCAATAATGCTTTTATGTTCTCACCGCCGATCAGATCAACTTGATCGACCCGATCACATTAATTCCCCGATGAAGCCGGACCAAGCTGGACCTCTGCTCTATCATTGCCAGATTTCCACCCGACCAGATCGTAATGATCGTAATCGAGAATTTGGAAGTTGCTCTATCTTCCAAATTGTAACAGCTAATGACACACCAACAGTTTACATCTATATATTGTCTAGGTCATGTGAACTCGTGTATACATCAGGTATACATGATATTACCCGATCTGTACACGATCATCTCGACTTCTACTCCAGCATTATCTGATCGCAACCCGACCAACTCGATC